CCAAGTGCCGCCGCCGCCGCCGTCAAGCGCCGCCGTCGCAAAGCGCCCGCCCCGCCGGGCCGGGACAGACGGGCCGTCAATCAGAGCCGCTCGACCAATCAATGGGAGAGTCTGGCGGGAGGGGGCGGGGCCTGTGCCCCCTCCCCGCCTTCACCCCGTGGGTTCCTCGCCCCCGCAGCCCTCCATTTCCCTCATTTCACCCCAAAAGCCGGTCGCTCCGTTCCTCCCCCCTCTTCTTTCGACCCCGCGGTTTTCCCGGCGTCGCGTCCTCCGGCTGCTTTGCCCTCCCCGCACCCCTCTGTGTGTGTTTTGGGGAGCTCCAAGGCCCTCGGTGAGACCTTTGGGGTGTCCCTGACCCCACTTCTTTGCTTTTTGGGGCCAAGTGTGGTTTTTGGGGTGCCCCATCTTCCTTGCTGTGCCTTTGGGGACCCCTCAAGGATGGTTTTTGGGGTGCCCCAAGCCCTTCCACGCACCCGACTCCCCGTTTTGCCTCTCGGTGCCATCCGACTGTTCCCATACAGCCCCCCACTCCGTGAACACCCCGAGCTGCCAGGGGTGTGTGTGTGACACAGGGGGTGTGTGACACAGGGACGTGTGACACAGGGACAGGTGTGACACAGGGACAGGTGTCCTCCAGGTGCCACCATGTCAGGGGCAGGCAATTCACTTTCGCTTCCATCCAGGAGAGGAACGAGACTTTATTTCGGAAAAAGGCATCGAAATCTCCAACCAAAATCATCCCGAGGAGACAAACAGCCCCGACTCCTCAAGGTCACAGCTCCGGGTTTGCAGACACTTCCCCAAAATTTCATTTTCTTCCCTATTAATCCCCCCCAAAAACCGTGTAAAACTTAAAAAAACAAGACCCAACGGCGATTCCACAGTCTCTGGCACCTACCAGTCCTCATGGGGTTACGGAGGGGGTTCCCCTGTGGCGGCACCGGGGAAGGGGCCGTTCCTGCTTCCCCCCGGGGGGGCAGCTCAGTCGGATTTTTCCTTCTCCTTCATGTGCAGGAAGACGATGCTGAACATGAAGAGTCCAACCATCATGGAGAAGGCGCCGGCGTAGTAGGGGTAGGCCGAGGGGATGAACCGCTCGTACTGGGTGTGCTGGAGGGGCCGCACCGAGACCTGGGGTAGGGGGCACAGAGAGACACCCCCGTGAGGCCGGCACCACGCACCCCTTCCCTCGGGTTTGGGGGTGTCTCGTCCCACCCCCCTTACCTGGGTAGAGGAGTAGAGGTGGGTGTAGCCCAGCCGGTTATAATCCACCTTGAACTGAAACACCCCGTAGACGTCCGGCAGCTTGAACCGCACGCTGTATTTGCCACCTGAGAAAGATGGTGACGTTCACACACTGAGCAGAGAACCACCTGAGAAAGATGGTGACGTTCACACACCGAGCAGAGAAAACTTATAGTGGCCTTTCAATACCTGAAGGGAGCCTATAGAAGAGCTGGGGAGGGACTCTTTGCCAGGAAGGGTAATGATAGGACAAGGGGAAACGGTTTTAAATTGGAAGAAAAAAGATTCAGATTAGATCTCAGGAAGAAATTTTTTACTCTGAGGGTGGTGAGACACTGGAACAGGTTGCCCAGGGAAGTTGTGGCTGCCCCATCCCTGGAGGTGTTCAAGGCCAGGCTGGATGGGGCCTTGAGCAACCTGCTCTAGTGGGAGGTGTCCCTGCCCAGGGCAGGGGGGTTGGAACTCGATGATCTTTGAGGTCCCTTCCAACCCAAACCATTCTATGATTCTATGATAAACAGCCCCAAAATAGGGCAGGGGTGTGGTTCTGGGGAGGGAAAACCCACCGTTCCTCTTCAGAAAGGTCCTCACGAAGGGATCGATGCGGACAAACTCCAGCTGAATGTCGTCTCCGTCGAAGGGGACCCACTTGCCGTCGGAAAGCTTTTCGATGACGATGCTGTACTCCTGCAGCCCACCCACAACGCCTGATGTTAACGAGTGGCAGCCTACAAAACAAACCTCCACCCCCCCAAATTCTCCCAAATCCTTTTTCAGCTCCCCTTGATCCTCCCCACCCTGCCCCTTACCACCAGGTCGGTGACGGTGTAGGCGTTGGGAGGTGCCAGTTCCCCCACGCGGTGGTGGGACACGGCTCCCACCCGCAGCACTCCCTCCTCCTTGAACACCCAGCGGGACAGGGCCACGGCCAGCTCGTAATTACCCGTCTGCGAGTACCTACGGACCAAGGAAGGCTGAGAAAGCACGGCAGCCCCGCCGAAAAAATACACCACGTGTCAAAAATCTGATGGTTAACAGATAGAAAAGCATCAAAAAAGCTCTCCAGGGTTAAAGGAGGGATTTGCTTCCCAAAGCGCTTCGCTCCACAAGGCCAAAAAGCCACATCACCCCCAATTTAATTCAAGCTTTCTCCTGTTTTCCCCCATAATGTGAATATTTTTTGCTTATTTTCCAGGATTTTCTTCAAACAGCTCCCCAAATATTCCTTGCCGGGGCCGGCAGGAAGCCAAGGTACCTCTTGGAGCCCGGGGTAGCTTTCTGCACGGCGGAATTGAAGAAGGCATCGCTGAAGAAATCCAGGGAACCGCTGAAAACAACGCGGGCGTTGTTCCGGGCCTGCAGCCCCGCGATCAGGAGGGTGTTCTTCCCCACCGCGTGTGGGTACTGAAAGGGAACGAGTGTCAAAGAGTGTTTAGTTGTGAAATTTGAGGGGTTTGATTGTAACAAAGCGGAGCCCAAAGGAGGAGGAAAAGGAACCGGGCGTACCTGAGTAATGGGCTTATCTGGGAAGAAGGAGTAGGAGGTGGAAGAGCCCGTCAGGATGTCCAGCACCAGCGGGTTGTCAGGGTCAGCCACCATCCTTGGGGGAGAGGGGCAGTGAGCAGCACCCAGACCCTCCCGGGATCCCTGCACCCCAAGGAACACACAACCACGAGAACCTCCTCACCCTTTGGGGTGGCCAGGCAACACCCCACACCTCAAAATTAAATATTTCCTCAAGATATCATAGAATCATGGAATGGTTTGGGTTGGAAGGGTCCTTAAAGACCATCTGGTGCCACCCCCTGCCCTGGGCAGGGACACCTCCCACCACACCAGATCCCTCCAAGCCCCCTCCAACCTGGCCTTGAACCCCTCCAGGGATGGGGCAGCCACAGCTTCTCTGGGCAACCTGGGCCAGGCTCTCACCACCCTCACACTAAAGAATTTTATCCTAATATCTAATGCAAATCTCTCCTCTTCCAATTTTAAACCCTTCCCCCTCCTCCTAGGGCTCCCCTCCCTGATCCAGAGTCCCTCCCCAGCTTTCCTGAAGCTTCCTTCAGGTACTGGAAGGCCATTATAAGGTCTCCCCAGAGAAAAACTATATATATAATATATAGTCAAGATATGTAGTCAAATATATAGTCAAACTTCTCCTATTTAGGTTAAAGAAACATTGCTAAGTCAACAATCAAACCACCTAGGAGATTATTTTTTGTAATCATTATCTGAAATCGAGAGGGATTGCTCGTGCAGGGTCACAGCCAGCTCACCCTGCGCTCCCCTCCCAGCCACGCTGGTATTTTTTCCGTGGTTTCCCCACTAACAGCCCCCGCCCCGGTGCCTTACCCGACCCCTCGGAAAAGGATGGGGTTCAGCGCCGCCTTCCCCACGATGGTGGGGGCCTTCAGGAGGTTTTCAGTGTCCGCGACGATGAGCGTGTGCTGGGAGGGAAGGAGAGGGTTACGGTCACTCCCTCAAACCCCACCCAACAGCTTCTCTTGCCATTTGAAAGTTAACATCCTTTTTACAGGTAATTAAAACCAAGAAGCCGTTGGATGAACGTTACAATTCAATTAAAAACCTAGAAACCTGCATTTTAAAGTTTAATTACGATGAAATTAAATTAATACTGGTAAATACGGAAACGTAAACTCCCTTTTGATGAAGTCAGCAACACCCATATTTAGCAACTTTCATCCTTAAACTAGGACAACATCCACGTACTGCTTCAACGGTTTAATTTAAATAAAAATTAGCAGAATATATGTACTTCAGACCTTAATATAGGTTTTAATTTTAAAGTGCTGGACGACACTAAAGGGAAAAAAAAAATCATAGAAGCGTGTACGTTCCTATACGGATCTCTGGGACTGACAGTCTCCCTTCCCACATGCGAAGCGTTGCACTCGGTGTCCGAGCGCTTCACCCGCGGGTGAAATTGCCCCCTAAACCCTTCAGAGTGGTTCAAAACCGCCACTAATCGCGGTGTGACCGCCTGAGCCACGCTGGCAATGGGACACTCAAGCCTGAAAGATCAAACCCAGGGAACTCAGAAGGATGGATTTGAGGGCAGAGCCCCCAGCCGTGCAGAGCTCTGCAGCGTTGTGTCACGCTGACAAGCAGAATTGTTTATGGCTTTCTTGGGAGGACGCTGAGAAAACAGAGCAGATGGAAGAGATGGGTCGCGTTGGAGGCCTGTAACCAGTGGTGTCCCCCAGGGGTCAATACTTGGTCCAGTTTTGTTTAACATATTTATCAATGACCTGGACGAGGGTTCAGAGTGTATCCTCAGTAAGTTCACTGAGGATACCAAACTGGGAGGGCTGGCTGAGGGCTGTGCCACCATCCAGCGTGACGTGAACAGGCTGGAGAGCTGGGCAGAGAAGAACCTCATGAGGTTCAACAAGGGCAAATGTAGGGTCCTGCACCTGGGGAGGAAGAACCCCAGGGACCACTAGAGGTTAGGGATGGAGCTGCTGGAAAGCACTTCTGAGGAGAAGGATCTGGGGGTCCTGGTGGACAGTAAACTCTCCATGAGCCAGCAATGGGCCCTTGTGGCCAAGAGGCCAATGGGATCCTGGGCTGCGTAGGGCAGAGTGTGGCCAGTGGGTGGAGGGAGGTCATTCTCTCCTCTGCTCTGCACTGGGGAGGCCACAACTGGAATCCTGCCTCCAGTGCTGGGCTCCCCAGTTCAAGAGGGACAGGGAACTGCTGGAGAGAGTCCAGCATAGGGCAACAGAGATGCTGGAGGGATTGGAGCATCTCCCTGCTGAGGAAAGGCTGAGAGAGCTGGGGCTCTTGAGCCTGGAGAAGAGAAGGCTGAGGGGAGACCTTCTTAATGCTGACAAGTGTCTAAAGGGTGGGTTGAGGGAGGATGGAGCCGGGCTCTTTCCAGTGGTTCCCAGTGACAGGACGAGGGGCAACGGGCACAAGCTGGACCATGGGAAGTTCCACTCCAATGTGAGGAAGAACTTGTTTGGGGTGAGGGTGGCAGAGCCCTGGCAGAGGCTGCCCAGGGAGGGTGTGGAGTCCCCTTCTCTGGAGATCTTCAAGCCCCACCTGGATGCTCCTGAGTGATGTGCTCTGGGCAGCCCTGCTTTGGCAGGGGGTTGGACTGGATGATCCCTAGAGGTCCCTTCCAGCTCTGACAATTCCCTGATTCCACGAGAAAAGGGAAAGCAAGGACAGAAGATTCATCCCTAAACCTTCACGTCTAAATTCTCATTAACAAAACGTGCAGACAGAGCAGTTTACCTGGCCGGGGTCGGATATATCATAGTTGTGGTGGTCGATGACCGCTGTCCGTTCCTCATCAAACTCGATGCCGCACTCGCTGCCCAGCTCTCGCAGCGGGTCGCCTGCAGGGAGAGAATGGACTCCCCGTTACGCAGCGTGTTGGGGATGTGACACCAGTCTCAGCATTCAAATTAAACATAAATTCGGCTCAGAGTCACGTGCTCAGCCCTCTACGAGCATCACAACCTCCCCCAGCTAAATCCCCACTCAAAATGTCAATAAAGGTTATTTATCGCCCATTTCCTCACAGCACAAACCTCCAAGTTCACAACCATAAACTGTTTTCTCACCGTTTTTGTTACAGGAACTCAGAGAAGGATGAATAAACTATTTGCTCACTGCAGAGCGTGAGCAGTGTACGTGCCTGGCACAAGAACCGGCTGAAACGCGCTAATTTGCTCTGACGAGCGTTTGTAATTACCGATGTCCGAGCTGGCGGCGACAAGGACGCTGCCACCGCCGTCGATGAAAGCGGTGATGGTCTCCACGTTGATGTTTCCACCAAAATCTGAAAGCGCACGACAGAAATTCCTGACCAGTTGACAGAAATAATGCCACAGCAGAATTAAACCACAGCAAAACAGCAAATCGTTTTTATTGTGGCTGAAGGAGCCACCATTAAGGGCTTGGAAACACCTGGATTTTGCTACTGGGTACAAGACAAAAAGAATAACATCTGAAATGCATGATTTATTTAAAATTCACAAATGAGTTGGAAAATCCATTCCAAAAATGCCACCAAAGCTGCAAAAGCACTTGAGTTTTCCCCTCCCATATTTACCTTCTATGGATGGTGAGAAGATGATCAAGTTGTCATAGAGAAATTCTCCATATTTTATCAGGGACAGGCCCGCGTCATCCGCCGTCCGGAAAGTGAGGTCGAAGCCCCTGTCTGCAGCCACCAGACAAAAGTGACAACGTGAACTGACAATTTGAACAAGCGTCAATGTGAACAATCAGCCATTGGAATAACCTCCCCAGGGAAGTGGTGGATTCTCCATCCTTGGACACTCTTAAGATTCGGCAGGACAGGGAGCTGAGCCACCTTGTCCACACCGGGCTTTTGCCAGGAAAGGGTGGACCAGATGATCCTTGAAGTCCCCTCCACAATTGACACATGTAGCAGCAAAGCAGCATCAAGATGCTGAGTTTTATTTTCCCAATAAACAGTGGTGTTTTGGAAAAAGCAGCTATGGGGCTTTCTAGGAGCGCCACCGGGCTGTCCCCAAGTAAAACCAAGAAGGATCATGCCCCTGCAGAGCCCTTTTGTTGCAAGGATGCCCTGTTGGCACCCATCAAGTGGGAAGCAACACTGTAAGGGACCCAAAACACAGCTATGGCTTTGATGTTTCCACCAAAATCTGAAAGCGCACGACAGAAATTCCTGACCAGTTGACAGAAATAATGCCACAGCAGAATTAAACCACAGCAAAACAGCAAATCGTTTTTATTGTGGCTGAAGGAGCCACCATTAAGGGCTTGGAAACACCTGGATTTTGCTACTGGGTACAAGACAAAAAGAATAACATCTGAAATGCATGATTTATTTAAAATTCACAAATGAGTTGGAAAATCCATTCCAAAAATGCCACCAAAGCTGCAAAAGCGCTTGAGTTTTCCCCTCCCATATTTACCTTCTATGGATGGTGAGAAGATGATCAAGTTGTCATAGAGAAATTCTCCATATTTTATCAGGGACAGGCCCGCGTCATCCGCCGTCCGGAAAGTGAGGTCGAAGCCCCTGTCTGCAGCCACCAGACAAAAGTGACAACGTGAACTGACAATTTGAACAAGCGTCAATGTGAACAATCAGCCATTGGAATAACCTCCCCAGGGAAGTGGTGGATTGCCCATCCTTGGACACTCTTAAGATTCAGCTGGACAGGGAGCTGAGCCACCTTGTCCACACCGGGCTTTTGCCAGGAAAGGTCGGACCAGATGATCCTTGAGGTTCCTTCCACAATCGACACACATAGCAGCAAAGCAGCATCAAGATGCTGAGTTTTATTTCTCCAATAAACAGTGGTGTTTTGGAAAAAGCAGCTATGGGGCTTTCTAGGAGCGCCACCGGGCTTTCCCCACGTAAAACCAAGAGGGATCACGCCCCTGAAGAGCCCTTTTGTTGCAAGGATGCCCTGTTGGCACCCATCAAGTGGGAAGTGACACTGTAAGGGACCCAAAACACAGGCATGGCTGAGAGAACAACCTCCATCTGCTCCCTCAGCCCAGCCAGGGGACCCCAAACACCTCCCTCTCCCCCAAGAAACACCAATCTGCTCCCTCAGTCTGACCAGGGGACCCCAAACACCCTCCTCTCCTCCAGGGAACCCCGACCTCCTCCCTCAGCCCGGTCAGGGGATCCCAACCCACCCCCTCTTCCCCAGGGAACCCCGACCTCCTCCCTCAGCCCCGCCGAAGGACCCTAAACATTCTTCTCTTCCCCAGCGAACCCCAACGTTTTCCCCCAGCCCGGCCAGGGGACCCCAAACCACCCCCTTCCTCTCCCCCAGGGAACCTCCATCTGCTCCCTCAGTCTGATCAGGGGACCCCCTCTTCTCTGGGGAACCTCAACCTCCTCCCTCAGACTGACCAGGGGATCCCAAACATCCCCCTCTTCCCCAGGGAGCCCCGATCTGCCCCCTCAGCCCGGCCGGGGATCCCCCAGCTGCCTCCCTCAGCCCGGCCGGGGGTCTCCAACCTCCTCCCTCAGACCGGCGGGGGGTCCCCGAGCCCTACCCGCCAGGCTGCGGAAGAAGAGCGAGTGCGTGTCGCGCAGGTTGCCATTCTCCAGCAGCACCAGGGTGCGGGGCCCCGCCTCAGCCCCGGCCGCCACCACCGCCAGGAGCCACCACAGACGGAGCGCGGCCGCCGCCATCTTGCTCGCCGGCGCCAAGCTTCCCCGGAAGCGGCTTAGGCAGTACAGCAGCCAATCAGCGCCAGGCGCCGCGCCCACGGCGTCCAATCGCCGACAGACAGCTCCTCGCCGCCGGCCAATCAGCGGGACGCCGGCGTGACCCCCGCGCGGCCACCGTAGGGGCGCTGAGGGAGGAGGGAAGATGGCGGCGGGGGCCGGGGTCCGCGACCACCCCCGGGCGGGATCCGCTCCCCGGGCTGCAGTAACCGGCCTCACACGCCAGGAACAGACGCTGATTATTTATTGCAGAGTTCATTTTCAGAGTTTATTTCAAGGGGGGGTGCCCGGTGGTTCCCACAAACCGCCCCTTATCAGGGCTCTCCACACGACTTTTATACACGTTTTACATAATTATAATGTTAATACCCCGCATTTGGTGGGTTAGTAATTTACAGACGGTTACACCAGCAAGTTACAGTTACCGCACGTGCCCAGCGGAAGGGTCATCACCTGGGTGAGGGTCGTTTGACCTATGGGCATGATTTTTAGTATTATAACAAAGATGGTTCAGCTTAAGCCACTAAGAATTTCCACTTTCCTGACAAGTTGGTTAAAATTCTCAAAAGACGTAGGTTAGTATCGTCTTCAAGGTCCTCGTGCTCAATGTGCCTCCTGGAGGATGACAATACTGGCCCCCCTTGATGAGTTATTTTCAAGGGCAGAAGGTCGTTATCAGTGAGGACGCAATTAAGGCCTTTCCCCACCAGTCACTAATAATAACATTTGAATGATACGCTTTTGGGAGGACTTCCCAGTAAAAGACCTCAAAAATGGGGCTGCCAGACTGGTTTATTGCAGCTGGTTGGGGGGCGAGACGCAGTGATGGCGAGTTCACCCTCTGTCCTGCCACCCCGATGGAGAGCATGAGTGTTTTGGTGTGAAACCACAGAGATTCAGCGTCGTCCTGCGAGGCTGGACACGGGGGGGTCAGCGCTTTTTGCTCTTTTTGCCCTTTTTGTGCTTGGTGTTGGCGCTTGGCGGGGGCACGGCCAGGGCCTGGAGGCGGAAGGGCCGGGCCACGGTGGCCACCTCTGGCCCCGGGGGAGCTGTGAGAGGAGGGGAAGGGATGGGGGTGGGCACTGGCCCTCGCCAGACCCCCAAAAACCCACCCCCTCCTGCCAAAAAATGAAGGTTTTACCTGGGTGCTGGGCCAGGCCGGGGTGGAGGATGCGGCTGGCGCGGCGGGGGCCGAAGTAGTTGTTGGTGGCCGTCTCGCTGTCGCTGCGGGTCAGCAGCAGCTTGTAGCGGTCCTGCTCGGGCTGGAAGGACAAAACGCCATCAGCCACACCGGGCTCCGCACTAGCCCTCGGGTTAGGGCTTAGAAATAGGGCAAAATTGGGTAAAATAGGCTAGGAACGTGGGGAGAAGGGCAGCGTTACCGTGCGGTCTCCGCTCTGGGCTGCGGGGCTGCTTCGGGCAGGTTGGGGCTGCGGCAGGACCGGAACTGCTGCGGGGAGAGACAGCGTTAATGGGTCATCAGCTCCAGAACAATTAATGCTCCCTGATTCCCAGCACCACTTAGGGAGGTTCCGATTGATTCCAGAACAATTAACACTCCCTGATCCCCAACATCACTTGGGGAGATCCCCATCACTCCAGAATAATTAACACTCCCTGATCCCCAACAGCAATTGGAGAGATTCCCATCACTCCAGAACAATTAACATTCCCCGATCCACAATACCACTTGGGGAGATCCCCATCAGCTCCAGAACAATTAACACTCCCTGATCCCTAACAGCAACTGGGGAGATCCCCATCACTCCAGAACAATTAATGCTTCCAGATCCCCAATACCACTTGGGGAGATCCCCACCACTCCAGAACAATTAATGCTCCCTCATCCCCAACACCACTTGGGGAGATCCCCATCACTCCAGAACAATTAACGCTCCCCTGTCCCCAGCACCCCTTGAGGAGATTCCCGTCAGCTCCAGAACAATTAACACTCCTTGATCCCAAACACCACTTGGGGAGATGCCCATCACTCCAGAATAATTAACACTCCCTCATCCCCAACACCACTTGGGGAGATCCCCACCACTCCAGAACAATTAACGCTCCCCGATCCCCAACACCATTTAGGGAGATCCTCATCAGCTCCAGAACAATTAATGCTCCCCTGTCCCCAGCACCACTGAAGGATCTGTACCACGCTTTGTATTAGATGATGTCATTATTCAAACTTTCCAGACAAACTTTCTGTAGGTGGACGATTTTAGGAGCTTGGGAGCAGCCTCTCACCTGCGGGCAGGCGGGTTCTTTGGATGACGGGCTCTGGAATTCTCCAGCAGCTGTTTTCCTCATCCCAGACGGATTCGCGCTTGATCTTCTCCAGATTGCTGTAGTTGCAGTCGCGGCGGACGAGGGACTGCACCTGATCCAGCAGCTGCTGGAAGAGCAGCAGGTCCCGCTCCAGGCGGCGGATGGTGCCCAGGTAATCGATCTTCTCCAGCTCAAACTCCGACTGCAGGTCTCTGATCTCGGTCTCGGCGGCCCGCAGCTGGGGCAGAAAACCAAAATGAATCGTTAGGATGTTAAAATTGAGAGAGAATTCCCACGAGCACAGGGATTTGTCAGGCAGAAGGATGGAAAGACACACTGAAAAGCTTCAATATTGGGGAAGATTTCTAATTTATAGCTAAGAATTGGGATGAGATTTGCGTGGAGAGATTATTCCATGTCTGTTTTTAATAAAAGATTTCTTGCCTTCCTCCAAATGGCTGAGTCTTTAAGTGAATCTCACTAGTATGGTCTGTGTCTGGTGATAACAAACTCTTGGGAGTTCCCAATTTTGATGAAAAAGGAGCAATGTTTCTTTGCTAACCTAAATACAGCAATAAAGCAAGTTCTTAACGTGCAGATTTAGGACTGCGCACACACACACACAGATTTTTTTTGATGCTCCTCTGATTCTGCCTCATCAGGGCAAAACTGAGTTTAAAATATGCCTAAAATTTAAGAGCATTGCTTTTATGGTATTTTTTTTAATTTATTTTTTTCCCCAGGAAACTTCACGGTGTAATCTCTTCCAGGTGTGACAGCGGGAGGCAGAGGGAGCTGTGCAATAGATGGCGCAGGGCAGCAGAGGGAGTCGCAGCCTCTCCCATGGCCAAACACCCTCCTCCAGCACCGCCTGCACCAGGACCGGCCTCCAAAGCAGGTGGGCTTTGGGCTTTGGGCTTTGAACAACTTCATTCTCCACCCTGAGGTGGGGACTTTTGTGTCTGGTATTTCATAAAAATGCACACAAACACGTTTGTAGTGACCAACGCAGGCACGTGGTGAGTGAGACTCGGGAGGTGATCAGCCCCACCTGAAATGCACACAAACACGTTTGTAGTGACCAATGCTGGCACGTGGTGAGTGGGACTCGGGAGGTGATCGGCCCCACCTCGAGGGCTGTGCCCAGTTTTGGGCCCCTCACCACAAAAAAAGACATTGAGGTGCTGGAGCAGGTCCAGAGAAGGGCAACGGAGCTGGGGAGGGGGCTGGAGAGCAAGGAGAAGGGTCTGGAGAACTTCTGAGGGAGCTGGGGGTGTTCAGCCTGGAGAAAAGGAGGCTGAGGGGAGACCTTCTCACTCTCTCCAACTCCCTGAAAGGAGGGTGTAGCCAGGGGGGGTCGGTCTCTTCTCCCAAGGAACAGGCCATGGGACAAGAGGAAATGGCCTCAAGTTGCACCAGGGGAGGTTCAGATTGGAGAATAGGAAATACCCAGGGGAGGTTCAGATTGGAGATTAGGAAAAATGTTTCCACATTTCCACATAACAAAGGGTTATCAAGCCTTGAAATGGGCTGCCCAGAGCAGGGATTGAGGCACCATCCCTGGAGGGATTTAAAAGCCGGGTTGACATAGTGCTTGGAGATATAGTTTAGTGATGGTTAGTTTGATGGTTGGACTGGATGATTTGAAAGGTCCCTTCCAACCCAGGCAATTCTATGATTCTATGTATGAAGTATTTGAGGCAGCCAGAGTCACTCTCTAAACACACTGCCCTAAAACACCTAAATAAACCCAGATAAGCAGGGGAGGAGAGGAACGCTCCCTGGATCTTCATCCGGGAGAGCAAGGAGCGACTCACCTTTTCCTGCATCTTCTCCAGAAGCTTGCTCTTGGCACGGACCTCCTCCTGGATGGAGTCATAGACGTTAAGCAGAACCCAGTCGCTGGTGTCCTCGTCCGATTGCTGCAGGGCAGCCACCAGCTGCATCCTCCGATCGTCTGCGTATTTTTTCCGGCGTTTACGCTTTTCTTTGAGGTCCTTGTTTTTGGCCTGTTCCCCCCCAACCACCTGTCGCTCCAGCATCTGCAGCCTGGAAAAGGCAAATACAGTGATGTCCCAAAGCAGGGTGGTTCACCCGCCGTGTGTTATTTATTTACATCATTTCTGCAGTGATGGGTGCTGGGTGCTGATCCAAACAGCCAGTGCACTGGCCTACAGACTCCTCGGAATATTTATATGGTTCAAACCACAGAAAATGCACACCCTTAATTATAATTATTGGTTAGTACCTTATCTTAACAATTTCTATTGATTAGTACAGTCTCTCCCTTTCCCTTTTTTTTCCCCTCACAGGGTCTTGTAACCTTTTTACAGCTCTTTCTTCTTACTTAGTGAGAGATTCTACCTTCTAAAATGTATTTTACCTTTTGAAAAGTATATTCTACCTTTTTAAGGCACATCAGCAGTACAGAGAACCCTCTGTGTCAGCACGGAGGATCCACAGCCCTACCTGGAGGATGTTTGGGATGACTGTAGAACTCCAAACATGGAAAGGAGTGAGTGTCACAAACACAAGTCCTGACACTAGCAGAGGTGAGTGGAGAGACCCTGTCGGGGCACAGGCATCACTAACGGGCTTTTGCCCATGTAGGGACGAAGAGAGGGTTAGGTCTGTGAGACCCCTACACCCCACTGACTCATTTCTGGAACATTCACAGAATGCTATGGGGTTGGAAGGGACCTCTGGAGATCCCCCAGTCCAACCCCCGGCCACAGCAGGTCCACCCAGAGCAGGTCCCACAGGAACGTGTCCAGGGGGGGTTTGAATGTCTCCAGAGAAGGAGACTCCACCACCTCTCTGGGCAGCCTCTGCCAGGGCTCTGCCACCCTCACAGCAAACAAGTTCCTCCTCATGTTGAGATGGAACTTCCCATGTTCAAGTTCATGCCCGTTACCTCTTGGCCCCATCCTCCTGACACCCACCCTTGAAGTATTTATAGGTGTTGATCAGATCCCCCCTCAGCCTTCCTGTCATAGCTACTCCTGTGGACCCAAGGCAAAGCACGTGTTATTCTGAGCACTTTCATCAGCTCATATGCCTGGAAATCTGCATCTACACTCGCAGAATTATTTCAAAAAAGCCCCTGTTTTGTGGAGTTTGTATTCATGCCCGTTACCTCTTGGCCCCATCCTCCTGACACCCACCCTTGAAGTATTTATAGGTGTTGATCAGATCCCCCCTCAGCCTTCCTGTCATAGCTACTCCTGTGGACCCAAGGCAAAGCACGTGTTATTCTGAGCACTTTCATCAGCTCATATGCCTGGAAATCTGCATCTACACTCGCAGAATTATTTCAAAAAAGCCCCTGTTTTGTGGAATTTGTATTTCAATTCTTATTTCTTGCTTTGAAAGACTCTCAAAGCAAGCATAAAAGGTGCTAGAATGACACGAAGAAATATTCTAAGTGGTGGATAAGAAAAAGCCCCTGTTTTGTGGAGTTTGTATTTCAATTCTTATTTCTTGCTTTGAAAGACTTTCAAAGCAAGCTAAAAGGTGCTAGAATGACAAGAAGAAATATTCTAAGTGGTAGATAAGGGAGTGGTACAACTGGGAAACACAGTACAATTTCTTTTTTGGGGCAGTATCGGGCAGGGACGATGACTTGGGTGACCTCAGTGCTGCCTCTTGCAGAGACCCATACTGGAAACTGAGCTGGTCTCCTGTCCCCACCTCACAGAAATAACACTGTGCTCCAGAGCTCTGTCTGCACGGGGATCTGCAGCAGAGCAGCCAGCTCTGCTTGGCCAGCGCTGCCTCAAATTGGAGAAAGTCCCCCTGCTGATAAAACCTCCGCTGATAATAACCTCTTAATTATCTTCAAACCCATCCGAAAGAGCTCGTTCTCCACCAGAGATGACCCGCTATTCTGCTGTACTGCACTTGCCAAGCGGCCCTTCGGTTTCCTTTGCTTAATGTGCGCTTGAATCCTGGCTCTGCTGAGCGAGTATCAGAGATCTCACAGCCACCCTGATGGGTAAAGCCTTTCACAGGCAGCTTTGAACATCCCCACGCCTGCGGAACCAAACCCTCCTGCCTAATCTGCAGAGAACTTTGATTTTAACAAGGTAATTGGAAGAGCGTTTTTCGCTTGTTTTGGCACAGAAAGGATCGCTGCAATAGGACTAGTGAGATTTGATGGATAGTCAAAACGAAGGGTTTCTTTGGAGACCTCTCCATGAATAGACAGAATTGCCCACAAATTACAGATGCTGCTATTCCCGATTTCTTAATAGCTCCTTTTTCATGCCCAACAGAGTGAGCATGTGCCCCAGGAGCTCACAGTAAAGCTGAAAGACTGGTTAAAAAATGCCAGACTTTTCAGAATCAAATTCCATCGTCCACAATATATCTTATGCTAAGTGCTTCTAATATTAATGTAATTCTATGCAACAGAGTGAGAGAGAGAAATCAGCAGAATTTGCTTAGAGTGTCTATTTCTCAAATGGCATTAAACCCCCATATTATCTCGATGCGTTGTGTGGGACTCGGACTGAAGGGATTCTCTCAAGACGGCTCTTTCCTGGAGGAAAACCTCCAAGACAGGATGTCTCTGAGATGGGCCAAACGTGAGCCTTGTGCCTGCACCCCTCCTACCCCAGCCCTCTGCTCCAGGCCTGGGGTCTAATGCTGCCCCTAAAATAAGATTATTGGGACATTTTGGTGCCAGTTCCACCTGATATCTTGCAATCATTGTCAGATGTGTGCGTTAGAGGCAAGAGTGAGCTCCCCTCCATCCACGTGCGCAGTGAGCGGCAGGAGGGCCGGCTCCCTTACTTGTACTGCTACGAGAAGGATCTAAGTGCCCTTCAAAAACCTTTTTTAAGAGGATGAGGAGGCCACCTCCATAACCTGTTTGGGCACATAGCCAGACTCAACTCCTCATAAATAACACCTGCAAAAAGACAGAGAAGGAAAAGATTTCCCCACCTACAGATCTAGGCAGGGTGTGTTAGCACGAAAGCATGCTTTTTTGCATCCACACCTGCTGACACAGACCTTTCCAGACTTTTCTCCCATAATTCTGACACTTGGCATCACTGAATGCCACAGCCGACAGCTAGTCATCTGCCCAAATAGGGCAAAGTTAATTTGGGGGTAAAGAATATGCATCTGCCTAGTTTTGTGCTGCGCTGAACTGACAGCTGAAGCTGGACAGCTGTAAGATGATGGAAGAACAGGGTTGTTTCCTGCCAGTGTGTGTTGTAAGCAGTGCCCAGGAGGCAGTGAGCAGGAGTGGTGCTGTCACTGACCTGGCGAGTACCTGCTGCTGGTCTGCAGGCAGCAAAATCCCCTCAGCAGCGATGGCCACCTCTGCTCCAGCACTTCCCCTGCTCGCATCATCAGTGTCCGGGACAGGCCAAGGTGCTGCTGGGGCCTGAGGAGAAGAGGAAACCAAAAGTTGCAGCTCTGAAAAGTCCCTGTGTGAGTACCGGGATGATGAAGCACAACGCTGTCCACTCGGGTTTGTTCAGCCAAGGGGGGAGAAGTAGCCTGAAGGTACCTGGGCTGATGTTGGTTCTTCATCTGCTGCAGCGACAGAGTCTCCAGGCAAAGGTGCCTTGTCAGGAGTAATTTCAGTCCTTGTGGCAGCTGAAGAGGAAAAGAGGAAATACCCACAACGTAAGCAAAGAGATCTGCAAAACTAGAGCATGAATCTGTGAAAACATCACAGAAGATCTTCACCTAAAGCTACAAAGTCCGTGTCTGGAAGGAAAAGGTCTCTTTTTTATGCTGGTCAAGAAAAGCTGTCGAAGACCCAGAGGGTATATCAGGTGAGAAATGCAGATTTTACAGGGTTGGGAGAGGCTAGGTCCTTGTGTTCACGCACAAATAATCTGTTTCGGAGGCTGGAGGGGCACATTTGTAATCAGAAGGGAGGGGGTGGAATAAGAACCTCTCGCCTTAGAAAGTGATAGCATCAAAAATGAAGAATCTAGGTTTAAGAAATAATATCAGGCAATAAGTGCTGTACAAGCACATCGCAAAACATGCTCTGGGGCGCCGTGGAAGTATAAACGAGAAGCAGTAAGGAGGAAAATAGCTGGCAACAATTTATAGGTGTGTGAGAGGAATATCCACCCTCCAGCAAAGCCGTGGTGGTGATAATCCACTGGGAGCCCCAGGGCTGCATGGCATTTGCATGCGAGGGAAGAGACTGCGGCAGCCGCCCTCGTCCTGGGCGTGCGAGTCGTGCAAAGCCAATGGGATCAAGACAGCGCGGCGCCTGTGAGACCAGTCATCCAGCCTCTGCTGGAGAGAAATGCTGCCCCAGGTCAGAAGAAACTCACAGCTACACGGGCAAAAAATGGCATTTCATCACCTCCAGGTTTATAGGGTAGGGTCAGGCTGGTCCTGACAGGGAAAAGAAGTCAGGGAAATAGGACACAGCTGGGACAGGGAGCCTCATGAGTGGCTCAGGAGAGCCAGAGTTACTGCTCCGGCTGCCGAAAAGGGAGGGCTGAGAGCAGGGAGAGCAGGGACTGTTATTGCTGCCAGGCAGCACTTGCTGCAGTAGCAGCCGCTGCTACTTTAAAGGCTGCAGTGGCTGCCACAAATCTGACTTTGCAAAACAGCCTGTGTCTGCTCCTGCCTAAAGCATCAGGGAACCCTCAGCCTGTGCTGCGCACCCTCCACCTGCCTCCTCCTGCCTCCCTCCTGAGGTTCTCCTCGAGAGCAGACAGCTTGATGTCGTAGTGATTCCTCAGGTGGCTGATGTCCTCCTCGAGGCGGGCTCGGGACGCCTGTTCCGCTTCGTAGCTGGCCTTCAGCTGGGCCAGTCTCTCCTCGTACTCCTGAAAGGCACACACACAGCCTGACACAACAGCCCTGAATCCACACGAGGTCACATCTCGGTCCATTCTAGGTCACATTTTATGCCCACTGCAATAAAACTTTACCATCCTGCACTCACTGACTTTCTCCGTGATCTAAGTCGATGCAGTATTAATTGAAGGTGACTAGTTAACCCACGAAACTGCTGACTTGGGCAGATGTAGTGCCCTGGGAGGAGCTCTGTAAAGAGCAAGGAGTGAGTTTTATTGCCTTCTGGCTCCCAACTCCTCATTCTTCCTCCTGGCTCCATATCCCACCGCTCCTAACATCTTTGACTACTGCTTTCCTCAAACCTACTTCTCCCTCCTCTGCCAGGAGGAATCTTAAGTTTCAGGTGTAGTTTCCTCTTCCTGCTATATGTACTTCAAAAATTCTTCTTGGGAATCCATTCCAGTTCATCTCCAGAGTGGTGGGAGGTGTTGTAAATCAAACCTCCATCAACACATGTCCTGTCCATGGGAGAAGCCCAAGGATCAAGAAATAGGAAGAGAAGTGTTCTAAAAAGGCTGAACCACACAGCCCTACACTCTATTTGTAATGATCATTATAAAACCCACAAGCTTTAGTCAAAGACACTACGGGATACCCTTTCCTGACTTACTGCTCTGATCAGCTGCTTCTCTGCTTCGAGATCTATCTGGGGCTTGAGGAGGGGAGCCAGGTGAGCGGTCTCAGCAGGCAGAAGCCCTGCAAAGCAAAGCAGAAATAAAAATCACTCACAGTTACTGGGTGGGATGTCTGTAGAACGCCTGGAAACAGAACAAAGAACCTGGCTGCCAGCAAAGAACACAGCAATCCGTGCGCTCCTTCAAACTGCGCTCGTGTGCCAGCATCTGTGCTGCCAAAACGCCCACTGCCCTGGGACTCCAGGTGTGGGGAGAGACGGAGTCAGCGCCGAGCAGAGCAGGAGAGGTTTAAGCTTCAGCTATATGAAAGTGAATATAAATCTAATCTCTTTCACAGAATAACAGGAGTCTTGTTTCCAGGGCTGTGCTAACAGATTTGGAAGGTAAAGGACACCGGGAAGGAAATTGCCTTCTTTCTTCACAGCTGTTTCTGAAAGGTGGCAGAAAAAAAAAAATAAACTTACAGCCTTACTTCTCTCCTCAAAGTTGCCCTTTTTTCTAGGGGATAATTCTTAAAAGGTGATCAGCTCCCCGAAGACTGCTCTTACCCACTGGTTCCCACATTTGCTATTCCTACTTCCCAGCCAAGAGGGAGGCTGCTGGGGCCGGGCTGGATCCTCAGAGAGGACGGTGCTGCTCTCCATAAGCAGTGCCACCAGCAGGGCAGAACTTTTCTTCTTTCATCAAAAATTCAGTGTAGGAGAACAAGGCTTTCATCAAAAATTCAGTGTAGGAGAACAAATTTAGCTGAATGCTAAATTTGAAAACATTTTATATGTATTTAATAAAGCCTTTTACATTATGTCTTTCGCAGCTCATTTTTGCTCTGCCAGCCAAAACCTCTCTTCTGTGAATGACCAAATTCTAGCCAGAATGACCAAGAAGAGCTCAGGATTTTAATCACATCAGCATTTTCTAACAGAATCTGTCATGACTGAAAAGACTGGATAACCGAGATGGTCCTTACCAGTGGAATAAGGCCAATTTGGCAACAGTGAAGGCAAAGTCCATTACCAGAATGGAGAACTCTTCCTTCAACGGGTAAGAGAAATGCTGAGGTGAAATCCAGTGAGCATTTTACATATAAAATCTCATTTTTCTGTCAAAACATCTCTGCAGCCAGTAAGAGCTCTCCTACCTGACAAGTTATTCGTGCTCATCTGTTCAGCCAGAATGGCCTTCAGCTTCTTTATCTCCTCCTGATACTCCCTCAGCAGAGCATCCTTGGGGTCCTCGTTGATACAGGGCTTGTTCTTGATGTTTTTCGCTCGATTAGCGTAGCGCAGAGTGCTGAGGCTTTCGTCGTAGTTGTTATCAGCCGGAGATAAGCAGGCTACCATCAGCGTCTTGGTGTTCCCTCCCAGGGAGTCCTGCAGCAGCCTGGTCAGCTTTGAGTCTCGGTAGGGGATGTGCTTACTCCTGCCATCAACCAGGGCCGAGATGACATTGCCCAGAGCCGAGAGGGACAGGTTGATTTTGGTGGCCTCTTTGAGACGCTCCCCTGTGGCTCCAGTTTTCGACTGTCTCTCGCTTCCTGCCAGATCCACTAAATTGAGTTTCGCGGCCCTAAGGTGGTCCTGCCCTCGCTCATCTGCAAGAAAATAATTCCAGATTAGGCTCTTCTTAAGTGGAAGCACCTTAACAGTCAAGAAACAGGACTCTCTTGGCATTACATTCCAGTTCAAGCCCTGTTCTTTGTCTGCATTTGGGCCCTGGCTCTCTTAAGTAAATAAATATCTATTTAATCTTAGAACTGCATGTTTTAGTGCTTTCCTGAACAAGATCCTGCACAGTAAAAATTCATGCCCATTCTTACTCTGCCAGTAAGCTCTGAACACACACACACACACACACACACACACACACACACTCTCTCTCACTGACTCCCTCCACATATTTCCACAGCGTTTAGAATTTCATACAGAGCCCACTGCAATCAACAAGATCAGACCATGGGTTTATACAACTTCTTTTCCTCCTCAGGTTGTTTCATGAAGTTAAACCATCTCTGACAATTGGAGAGAAAGAAGGGAGGAAGGATGAAATGAGGAATCAACAGACAGTGACTGGAGCAGGGCTTGTCAGAGAGCACAGGCAAAAGAACAGGCAGCTCTGCGATGCGGAGAGACAGGCAGGAAAGTGACGACCATGCAAAGGCTGGAGTAGACACTGCATTAGAAAACAGTTTTTCCATGAACTCCCAAGCTACGGCTTTTCTCAAGCCTGGAATCCAACCTACCCTAATCAATGGATATATTGAAGAAGTTTCTTGCTGTGGTTCAAAAGACAAAGCACATCCTAGCAGACACCATCAAGGACCACCATCTGGCTTTCTGTCCAGCTCGAAAGTTCCAGAAGCCCATGAGATCCCCCCCTCTCGCCCAGAGCGCTGTAGAACCGTGCCGTGACTCAGCACACAGGCACGCTCAGCAGCATCTGTTCCTCCTCAACTCATGACATTCTCAGCGAGAAAGGAAAATGAAGGAACACAGGGGAGAAACAGGAAAACTGTGAGAAATTGGGACGCACTCGACCTGAAGCCCCTGGATGAGAAGCTGGATTTCAGTGAGCACGGAGTCGGACGCAGTGAGCTGGTGCCATTCCCATCGTAATGCTTTGAGGCAAGAGAAGATGTGAGCTGAAGCTGTGTTGAACATGAAAATGTGAAGCTCCCCAGCTACCTGGAAGCACACCTCATGTGTGTCACACTTGCTGCCTGACCTGCATTCTGAGGCTGGATTAAGATGATGATGCAAATTCCTGTGACTGAGACAAATCACATCCACTTGCTTTTGGTTTTTCTAGCTACTTAAACTTTCCCAGCCTCACACAGAGCAAAGAGCTGGGGACACGCACTCCCAAATCACAGACCACACTTTTAGATGTCCATGTCCCAGTCATCCCTCACAATTACAACCCATGTTCAAGGGAAGAGCTCCTTTAGCGCTCCAAGCAAAAAGAGCATCAAGGTTTTAACCAAGTCCACCCTTTTCCAGACAGCCTTCTAGAAAATCTGGCCTTGAATTTAGTCAAGAGTCAAGATTTATCTCTGTGGACAACACCTAAACATGAGCAACGAATAATCTGAAGCATGGGGGAAAGTTAAAAGTTCACAGGGAAACACCAAAAAATCTGCTGCCCCAGGATGTTTCCCCAGGTACAGCAACAAACTGTTAACTGTAAAACTTAATGTTTGCTGCTGAGCAAACTTGTTTCACATCTTACTGGTGTGTCAAGATATGGGAGAATTGGGAAAAAAAACCAAACAGATTGAGTTTAAATAGAGCACCCTCTTGCTACCCTTTCTAAGTGCTGGGGTGAGTGGATTGTCACAAAAAGCAGGTTTTCCTGCTTTCCCTTTTCCCCCTTTCCTCAGTTTGTAAACACTGACAGGCAATTAAAGAGTTGTTTTGGTTCCTGCCAGTCCTTTTACCCACAGAGGCTGTTTGTTTCCATCTCAGAGCTTAGCAGTTTAGTTTCCATGGTGTAACAAGGTCCCCAGACTCCTGCTGACATGCCTGCAGCAGCCCAAAAATCTTCCTCGTCTAATTCTCCTACAGCCCATCAGCCAGTTCTAGTGGCACTGGCCAAATCTACGACATCTCTCATTAACAAATCAATCCCTAAGCATAGCACAAAGGAATAAAACATCTGCAACTCTAAATACTGTAAAAATACTGATGGTGAGTTGTGCATTTCATACATCTGCAGCCAGAGAGCCCGGTATTTGCCATCATTCCTGAATCTGTTACTTTAAAAAATTGCACATAATTGCACAAAAAGTCCACATAATTGCAAAGAAATCCTTTAAAATATTAACTGCCTGTAAATTATAATTTATTGCAGGCTCAGCTGGAAAAGGAGTTTGAATTTCCCTCTTCATGAAGCCTAAAGATGACAACCAAGATAAATACCAACTCAATTAACGCTTTCAACTAATGATTACCCTAGCAGAACCATCCAGTTACGGGGACTGTGCCAGAACCCTCAACTTTCTCCTCAAATATTCCAGCTGTCTTCCATTTAACTGCCAAACCTGCAAGTTTCCCCACCTGCCATCCTGTTCCACGCAACAAGTTTTCAAAGCTTTAAATCAGAGAAATGGTTGCAGGCCAGATTAAGAGCCCTGCACCAATCTGGAACACAAAAAAAGGAGTGTAAATAAGTCTTTTTCTTTGTTAGGATTAAAGTTGGGGTTTTCCAGACCCACATAATGCAAGAATTAGCATCCCCCAGCAGTGCTAATTGAGAAATTCCCAAAATCCCCCCCTCCCCCATTTTGGAGAGTGAGGTACCGTCACCAACATCTGCAACCACAACTTAGGAAGAAATTGTGCAACTTTCCTCACGACTGAAACAGCTGAAGAAAAGGAAGCCAAGTTGTTCTCAGCCTCAGCCAGGGTGAAGGACTACACAGAATGTAGGAGACTAATTCCTTCCTCAGTCCCAGAAAAAACCTTTTCGAGGTCTGTGTTCAGACCCAGCGAGGCAGCTTTATCAGCTACAGAAACACCGCTGGAGACGAGATGCTCGAGAAAGGAAAAATCAGTCATTAAAACATTATTAAGGCTTTCTTTTATTCCATTTTAAAACCCCAGATTAACTGTTTGCTAAAAAGATGTGCCCCGCGATTAAGCTCAGTGAAGGAATCATTGGATGAAGTGATCTGACTTGCATTGTAAAGGAGGTCAGATAACGAGATGGGTAACGATAGAAGTTTCTACGGGCTGTACAATATATGAACTCCCAGCCATTGTATGGGCTTGGAAATTTAGCACCCTTTGCTGGAAATAAAGGTTTAAGAAGATAAAGAAACAAAAGGAGAATTAAATACGTTGCCAGTTTGAGTGTTAGACATTTCTCTCTCAAGGGGGAATTTAGGAAAAATAAAGCCTGTGCCTGCTCAGCCATTTCACGCTGTGAAGAATGCCCACAGCAGGGCACAATTCTGATTTCTACTGGACCTAAAATCCTTTAGGATCTAAGGTTTTGCTGAGGGGTGACTGGTGATGCTCAGATTCTGCGCTCTGCTAGGCCCAGGCCTAAGGCAGGACGTCCAGGTACCTACCTACGGTGTAGATTTCCATGTTGACAGTGAAGATGGAGTGGGAACGGGAAGAGTCCTTATTCATGAGGGTGTAACCCACCGCTCGGTTTCTCCAGCCCGTCTCCATGATGCGCTCGCACTGGCCCACGCTCTGCACGGTGTGCAGGGACAGCCCCTTCACGTACACCCCCTTCTCCGGGTGTTCCTTCAGCTGCAAACAGGGAGAAGGCAACATAAAAATTAAGACAAGACACCCCGAGACTGCAGGAAGGTGCACTGGGAACCATCCAGAAGCTCAAGGGCTCCGCAAGTTTTGCATGTGGGGAAATTAAACTATTCTTATTAAACTATTTGTATTAAACTATTGGCAAAAACATAGCTGGCTGCCACCAAAAAGCTTTAATATTTCTGAAGAAGGAATAAAACCCCACGGAAAAAAAAAAAAAGGGAGAACCACTTTCATGGCTGTGCAGACAAAAAGAATTAAAGTAAAAAGTTTGCTGATTGATTCAGACATCTCCCAGGCCATGAGAAACCCGCGCTGCGCCGCCTTCTACCTCCCCTGTTATTAAGCTGCATATTTTAAAAAAAGAACTGAAATGTTTTTCACCTATTATGGCAAAGGCTCTAATATCTCTTCAGTCATAGGGAGCTTTTTTAAAATCAAGGCACAGATTCAATAGTCACAGATATTGTTACCGGTGCTTCGCTGAACCCCTCCGCTCTCAGAGGGCGTCTTGTTCTCCCTGACAAAACTCCCAAAGTCACAGCCCTCACGCACAGGCGGACTATAATCATTGTGCTCCAGATTAGTTTATTTTTAAGATGCTCTAACATCTTATTCAGGATAGAAACAGAGTGTTAAATACCCAACAGCATCTTTTCAGCGATTATCAATCATGCAGAAGAAAAAATTCCCTGCGGCATTCTAATAAACAATTTAAATATTCAAAATCTTGAATGATCCATCAAACCTACATAAAAAAAATACCAAACAATCGAGAGATCCCCGCACTCCTACACCCGCTCCCTCTGAGGCTCCCTCTGCACTGGGAATTTTAAACGAGCTGAATTCGTTTGCCGCAGCAACATTCCGCCCCACATCTGCTGAGTTCATAACCAGAGCTCTATCTTTATCGTGTCAGCTGGGATATCAAGAGATGGTTGTCATGACTCGGTGTCACAGAGTGACAGGCGCCGCGTTCAGCAGTGTGACTTCCAAAGAAGGTCCTTAGATACTTCAGAAGCAATGTAAAAGAGAGTGTTTGCTATAAAAAAAACCCCGCACACAACAGAGCAGAAGTGGCTGAAAACTAAACGGGGCAGGTTTTTAGCCACAACTGCCCAGGATGGATCCAGTTACAGGCTCACAGCCAGACTGTTCATACACTCTGACTTCTGCCTGTGCTACAGGAGAACCCCGCGATCAGCCCAGCTGTATTTGAGGGTGTTGCAGAGTCCCTGAGGAACACCCACACGAGGACATGGCTGTTCTTTGACTCCATGACAGACTGACAGGGGCATTTTCCTTGCAGAGCTCTGTAAAACTTGCTCTTCACAAGGTTTCATGTCCCAGGAGGTGACCGTGGGCTTCAGAGTCACCAAAGTCACCGATGTTGAAATACAAAGGAACAAGCAAGAAATGGGATTTTGAAGGAGAACTGGGGGACACAGAAGAAAGCAGTGGGTCAGCCCAGGCTTTCTGTCTCCGCAGGACACGACTCCCTTAATTACTTGGTGGAGGCAGCAACAGGCAGCGGCTGTCACCAGTGCGATGGTGTTACCCTGGAAACTGTTCTGCCCAGCTCCTTGCCCTCCCAGTGCCAACCGCGGTCGTCATGGAAACCGGTGTCACTGCTGATGTGGAACAAAAGATGGGAAACTGCAGCAGGCGCCTTCCCAAACGGCGAGTCCCCTTCTCCCACCCTCCCTCTCCGCGCACTCGGGCGAAGCACGCTTGGAATGCGGAGCAGAGAGGGTTTTGCCTCCCTGAAAGCCAGGAACCTGTTAAAAAACCACATCTGCCCCAAACAGTTTGGGTCTGTCCCCATCTCGGCGTGTCTGTGCGGCAGATGGTGCTAGTGCCTCAGTTTTCTTCACGAGGGCAGTCCTGCAGGGAAGTTAATTAGGACAGGAGATTTGCAGCTTCCCCCAGGAATAGGAGCAATAAGATCTGCAAAGCCACCAAGAGGTAAATTTTATAAAAATCAGCCCCTTGATTAGGATTTCAAGGAAGCTGACCTCCCTGCGTGCCTGCAAACTGCCCGCCTTCCCCATGCGTTCCCACAGGGAGCAATATCTGCTCTGTCCCCTCAAAAAGGGATTAGCCTTTTTTGTTTTAGACAGATAATGAGATCATCCACAGCTACACTGGATGAGATTAAACATTTATAAGGCAAAGAATCCTCCCGCTTTAGACACAGCCACGAGATGAAGAGGATTAGGCAGAAATTGCCCCATGAGCACTTTATTCCATCCTTGTCCAGTAACCAGTTTCACGCAGCTTCTGCAAAGCCACCAGCCGCTACCAAGTGGAACACACAGCACTGGATCCTGTTCCTTCTGCCACAAAACTTTCACTAACGTCCCTCAAAATCTTCTCTTGGCTTCCATATGCATCACTGTATCTTCATATTCTGGCATTCAGCTTCTGACAGAGCGTATTATTGCACTTTGGCGAGGCATTCATGGTTAACACTTATCTGAGCAAATTAAAGCACTTCCTAATTAAGGCTCATCAGCTCCACCTCACCTCCAACTTCTGCTTGGTATCAGCTCCAAGAAGGTCTCGTATGTCTTCGTTGTAAATCTCCAGGTAGGAAGCTCTCACCAAGAACTTGGCATTTTCAGCACACTGCACAAAAACAGGAATGATTTTTGGGTAAGGTTCTCAAAAGGAAGGCAAGCAGGCAGCCCACGGAGACACTGGGTGCCAGCTGGGTGCCTACCTCCCTTCAGCGCTTCATCAAATCTCTCCTGGCATTTCATTCCCAGGTGTAACCACTCGACACACTCGCTTTCAGTCCTTAAACATCTCAAGAGGGAGTCCATAAAGTTGGCAGAGATGAGGGTGCAGCTCATCTGACTACATTTGGGCCTCAGCTTTAGGACCAGAGGCAGCACACCCAAAAGCCTGGCCCCATTCTTGCTCCCGAGTGCGATCAGCACTCCCCTCCTTGGGGGATGACACAAAACTCATCTGTCTCAACATCACAGCATCTTACAGTGGGATCTCTTTCACACCCTTACACACCTACCTGTACGCTCTCAAAAATGTGTTCAAATGCCCTGGGTATGATGCCTTTCTGTGTAGAAGGATCCACGATTCCCTGCATGGTGAATGACTTCCCACTGCCAGTCTGGCCGTAGGCAAATATGGTGCCGTTGTAGCCTTCGGTGACACCCTGGAAATGGAGGAAAACCAAATAAAATAGCCATTATCTTCACCCTTTCCATAACTGGAAAGACATTGTCCAGATTCTATCCCACCTCATAAAAGGTATTTTAAAGGAAGAGCTGGAAGTAAATATCAAACAACTGCTTGATCTTCATATGCCACTAGAGTATAATAATAATAAAAAATTCATTCTGCTAGTATATAAATCAACAGTTTCTCTCAAAAATGGAAAATTTGAAGAAATGAAGGTGCTGAAAAGAGAAAGGGCAGTTGACAATGCTTAGCAGACCAGAATGGTTTTGCTCGTGGCAGAAAATCCCATGAAACCCAGAGAGACAACTAGAATGCCAGCTGATTGTAGGGTGGCCAAAGGGACAGTCTCGAGCTTAGAATAAATTCCTCTTGAAAAGCTGGTGAAAGAAGGCCTTGCTTTCATTTTTTTGATTTCTTCCTATTTCAGAGCAGCATGGTAGAACAGAAGATATTTGGATTTCTTAAGGCTTAAATAAAAAGAAAAATAAATAATCTATTAACCTTATAATCTACTGTTTCAGACCCTGGTTGTTCTCCCGATCAGGAACTTCCATCTTAACATTATCACTGGCCATTTTATCCCTGTTTCTTCCTGTGTTTTTGGGGGGCTTGAGATTTTTTTGCTTAACTGTTTCCTTTCTCAGCTTAGCCGTGTACCACGCTGATGTGTTAACAGGCAACAAACACATCCCCTCTCACTTTGCTATTCTAAAGCAGGCTGAGGTTCCCTGTCTTCTCTAAGGTTTCTCACTTGACAGTAAAAAGTCCCTAAAATCATCAGGAATCGTTTGTCCCCCTTTTCCTCCCTCACATCACTTTCCACTGCCATTTCTATCCAGCTACCATCTCTAGGACACTGGGGGGGTTCACTTTTCATATAAACATCCGCCTAAACCAATTAAATGTAATTCTATCCTCAGTGCCTCGCTGGCTGCTGAAAATGTTCTTTTTTCCTTCCCAATTTCCCAGCCTACTGCTGGGACGCAGTTTTGCCCTCCTCTGCCCCCCAGGGCTGCAGCTAAACCTCTTGAAGGACCAGACAGGGCTGTTCCTGACCATGAATCAGTTGTTTTTAGGGATCACCTACCTATGTAAGACTCCTCACCCTACGTCCCGAGCCGCGTGTTGGCTGTGTCTGGCTCGCTTCAGGCACCACTCACCTCCACCAGCGGGTAGGCGATCTCGTTGTAGATCTGCTCCGTGTTGTGCTCCTGGAAGTAGGCCCCGTCGAAGGTGAACTGCTTGGGGGGCTCGCCGGCGGCGGCGGGGTTTTGGAGGAAGCACTGGCCCCGCGCGCTCTCCATGCTGACCACCGCCTTGCAGCCCAGAGCCTTCTCACGCTGGCTCATGGGCCGGCAGCGCACGATCACCTTCACCGCCTCCGAGGCCATGCTTCGAGGCCCAGCTCAACCCCACGAGTGCTCACTGAGGGGGCATCAGGGCCTGGGTGGGCCTGTGGGAAGGCTGGGGCAAGCCCAGCCCTGGGGCCTGCACCCCTCGGTGGGTGGGTTTGCAGGGGGCACTGAGGGGAATGGACCCCCCACAACTTAGTGTGAGGAAGGAGGGTGTGAGGGGACTGGGAATGGCCAGGGAGAAGGGGAGACTAAGGAGGAGAAAAGCCTGGAAGGGATGAAGAGAAAGGGGGAGGCTTGGAATTAGCCTGAGGGGGAACCAGGACAGGCCGGGGGTAGGAAACCTGAGGGCGGGAGAGCCTGAGGTAACTTCGGGGAGGCGGGAAAAGCCCAAGGTGGGCCGCGAGAGGGAAAACCTGAGGTAAACCCGTAGGTGCCGAGCAAGCCCTCGGGAGCGGAGGGGAAGGCGAGGGGAGCCGGGGCTGTGCGCGGAGGGAGCCGGCGGCTGAGGAGAGCCTGGGCGGGC